GGAGCTGGAAGATGAGAACTGGCAACTTTCTAGTACAACTTTAGTACGCGGAGCAATCTGTGGAGCTGGAAGCTGAGAACTGGTGACTTTGCAGTACAACTTTAGTACGCGGCTGAGTCATCTCTCGCAGCTGCTCTGGCGCCCCTGCAGCTGAGTCATGTCTCCCGACCACCCGGCTCTCTTAAAAGGTTGACACACACACACACAGAGACCCACGCACTGCCTCAACTTACTCGGAGACACACACACAGACAGAGACTCATACACACACAGACATAGATACACACACAGAGACCCACACACTGCCAAAACTCACTCGACTTAACACTTCACATTGAACACTTAACAGATAACTCACACTCTGACTTCCTACGTGATGAAAAATGCTTTCGGGCCACTCGTCGTCTAGTTTTTATATCAAGGGCTGGCACGGCGAGGCCTATCATCACTGGCCATGTGTACCAGAAGTTCTACACACAGCTTGGAGCCCCAGAAAACTATACGACAGTTGGCAGATCATGGATGTTTGTTGGCAGCCAGTGGCTCCCAGAGAAATCATAAGTTGCAGTGGCTAGACACAGTATATGTAACTGCCATAAACATAATTCCCCACTTTGATGACTCCCTTTTGATATTTGCCCTATTGCTGGGGTCACTTTCCACGTCCCAGTGTCACTGTTTGTTCGACACCTGTGCCGGCTTCGCAGACTTTCTATTTTGGTCTTTTACAAAGGGTTGGACTGGGCCAGTGTTTCCTTCTTTTCAGGCACACCAATCATACCTTTCTACTGGCTCTACCAGAAGTTTCAATGCACTGCATCATCCAACGCCGGATCCACGTGCCCCTGCGTTTTTGAGCCACAGAGTGCGAGGAAACTACATGGAAGCAACCAAAACGCAGGTACTCGGACCCCCGAAATTCAGGCCAACAAGGCAACTTCCCGTTGTCCTTCTTCAGAAGGTCGAGTCCAATGATCCAAATCAACTGAGCCATTCGTCGTTTTGCAATGGGGATGGGGCTACAGTTACAACATGTTGGGTCTGTGAACGGATTTTGGAGAGGGGGTGGCTAGTATGTTCTGACAAAGCTATTTGATCTTTGATCTATTTTGGAAGTCCTACCTAGGAAGGATTTGTTGTCCTGGATCTCCATTGCCTACATCATCCTACATCAATCCGAATGCCTCATGCCTGTATTTGCCCTGCCTTGGAAATGTTGTTTGTGAGCACAAAGTCCTTTCAACATTGTTGCTCTAGGTTCATCTTTCCTAAAAGCACCGAAAAGCCTTGTTGATGAAGATGATGACGCTGATGAAGAAGAAGAATAAGATGATGCTTATGATAATTTTGGTTATGATGATGATGATGATGATGATGATGATGACGGTGATGAACGGCCATGGTCTTCGGGTGCCTTTGTAGGAATCAATTTGAGCCCTACCCAGATCCCATCCCAGATGTGTTCTCATTAACTATTGATGTTTTAACAACATGGTGACCTCACCTAATTAACACGTCGAATATTAGGGGATTCCGATCCAGGTTCTATCACAGTACAATCCTGTCTAGATCAATCTAGCTTCTAGAGGAGATGCTGTGAAAACACTCTTAAAGGAGGAAATCCTGCACGACTTGCGAGCTAAAGTTCACCTTCTAATCAATAAATGTACATCTGGGGGTTGTAGGGTTGTAGAGTTATTCATTCAACCATTTAACACTCCACATCCTCTTTGGCTCGTGTTGGACATACTCCCCATGTGCAAAGGTTCCGCTTTTTGCGGCACCGTGGATGTCCTTCTTCGCCCGGTGGATGACCGCCCTATGACCGGTCCAGGTTCGTGCATGCGCGATGCACGGCCGGGGCACCCGAAAACGGCTGCAGAGGTCTCCTTATGCGATTGGACAAGACACATAGCACTAGAGAGGACCACAGTCTTCGGCAGTGACATATGGCATCAGGTGGCATGTTGGTTTCTTGGAGCCGACTGTAGCAGTGGTGATGCGCATTCTTGCACATGGGTATAGATCCACATAAAGACAGAAACCATGCCGAAGAGGAGTAGGACTCTGAGAGAAACGATAGATGACGAGACTCAACGCCAGAAGGTCTTCATGGCGCTGAGAGAAAGGTCTTCATGGCAATGGAGACTCCGACAGTGGGTCCAAACCTAGCTGATGAACGTCTTCGGGACCCTTTTTTTGCAAGCTCCGACAGCGGACAGCTGGACAGCTGAGACCTGCCTGCTGAGACCGGCGATATATTCAGACGGACGTTTTCGGACGCTGCCGACGTCCAGAGATGGATTGGGTAGGAGTTCAGGCGTCCGGTCCACCCGGAATAGTACGGAAAAGTATATTAAACTGCTGAATTGTGCTTAGTAGGGAATGAGGGAATGGATCCAACATTGATTGGGAGCTCATTCCCTTATTCCCTATGTAAGGACCAGTACTGTAGTCAGACTGAGGGAGTTGTTGGGAGGTAAACTTGCGGTCCGCCTTCGTGGTGCCCAGCCTTTGGGCTACAGTCTGGTTCAGCCGAGGTGTGCAAAACTTCATCGCTGGCCACTCAGACTCGCAGATTCACTGTTACAGTTACTGTTACTGCATGCCGAAAATGGCGCGAGATCTTGATACAGCACAGACATGGAGTTTGACACTTGGCATGCGAGGTGGATTTTTTGCCCGTTGGACAAATATGACTATGACAAACAAATTACACACCCTCATAGTATAGTCATGGAATTGAAAACCACCTGTTTGTCGAGGAAAATGATCATCCAAGGGGCCATTGTCCGTCCATGATACTTCTAGCTAGTGTACCCCGATCACATCAACGGCCCCAATCCAAGATCGCGGACCAAACACCCTATACACCCTACACTCCGGATGTTTCTTCCGTCCACGTGAACCCACCCCCCAAACCTCCGCGTACCCAGCCACCCTCTCGACAGCGAGGGGCGCTTCGTTCCAGGTCCATCCCGACGCTGTGTCTCCTTTGTGGGACTTTCCTGTGCTGCAACTCCGAGTCACTGGTTACAAAGAGAGAGAGAGAGACTGACTGACTGACTGACTGACTGACTGACTGGTGCTTAGCAGGGAATGAGGGAATGAGCCCCCAGTAGAGATTCCTTTGCCCTCATTCCCTGCAAGTCGCACAGGTCAGAGAGTGAGAGAGAGAGAGAGCAGGAGTTCCACCGAGCTGGGGATGGGGTATGACGCACTAGGAGGCCTTGCTCCACCATTTGCCACGAACGACCCGGTGGTTCCAGGTCAACCGGTTGTTCGGTATGGTGCCATGACCGTTTGAGCGCAGACGAACGGAGTGCCTTGGCCGAGAAACTTGTTCGACCCGGCTTGGCCGGGTCTTGTTGTTGTTGTCGTTGTTGTTGTTGTTGTTTTGTTCGAAGAAACATGCTAGAAGAACAGAGAAACATTCCATGGGGACCAGGTCCTCCCTATTTCTACCAGCTCCGCCCACGGACGGTCGCCGGTCCTCCACCCCAGGTGCTGTCGCCGCCCACTGGGTGAGAATGGACAGATGGTGGGCGAAGTGACACAGCATGCACAGGCGAGGTGCACCACACGGAAAGCGCGCCGCGGAAAGCGTGGCGAAAGCGCCGGCGTTTTGGTGTGTTCTTCGAACGTCTCCCTCGGTTGGAAAGGGAACTTGAGTGGGTCAGTGCCAAGAAAGCGCTATAGATCTACTGAGGAAACCAGATCGTGCTTCACCCGCAGTTCCGAACATCCAGTGCAGTTCACCACTTTCAACTCAGTTTGAGCATCGCATTGATGGAACAAAACCAAAAGAACCATGGGAATGCAGTTCACCAATCCAGGGGCCCCTCAAGTCCTCGCACTCATCACCCATCACCCATCCATCTCACCACCCGACCCTTACACCGGGCCGCCCGACCCGGTGAGGTCTGCGGCTTTGGGACCTGCGTCTTCTTGCAGCTCTCCAACTCGCCACGATCTCAGCGGGCGGTCGAAACGGCAGCGAAGGGGTGGGTCCCGGCCCGGGTGAGACGTGGATTTTAAGAGGGAGACCCTGTCTGGCCCAATGGGTAGACTGGTCCATTTCACGAACCTTCCAAGCAGGGCGTTTTGTGGGAGGTCTCCTTAATTGTCGTACACACCCAAATATATCTGGTGATTCTGAGACAACATGTGAGGATGCAAAGGAAAAACCATGGAAGAGGCTAATTGATGGTGCTGAGGGATTTATACTGAGCACTGATAGGAAGAATTGGGAACGGAGCTTCCAACACACCCTCAGATCCGTTCTTTTTTTCCAAAATCCCTTCCCCCCATTTATATAAATGGTGACACCCCCAATTGTATTTTGGCAGAGTACTAAAAACATCTACAGTAAAATCTACTCCTTCTCGGGGAGGAGAAGGTTCTTCATTCATTTTCCATCTTCATTTCGTCCCATCAAATTACTTCACCTTCAGATGCCTCATGGTGTCACACGGCGTCATGTCTGGAGGCTTGTGCACATCGTCGCGGATGGCTTCATCACCTGTTGGGGCTCGCTATACCTGGATGGTCATGGCGAAGAGGAGCCTGGCAGCCAGGGGAACTGAGGGAGACGGGTCGAGGTGGACATTCTCCAAAAAGGACGGGTGGGGGGAGGGTGATGGACCAAGAGCCATGTCAAAGTGGTTTTGGACTATGGTTCCCTGAAGCTTCAGCAGTTTCTTGTAGATGTTCATGAAGATGGCGATGCAACTGCAGCAACGATGAAGATGATCCCTGGGTGTCAAGGTGGCCGAGGCGATGGAAGAGGTCGAACTGAGCAACAGGTTGGCGGTTTCGACCATGTTCCACTCAAAGGAGTTTCTCAACCACTTGATAACAATGGATTTCTTTGCAATTGTATCGTGCGTTGCGAGCTTATCGCGGCCCGCTATTTCTCGATCAGCCAGCCAGCCAGCCGGCCGGCCGGCCGGCCAAGAACCACGGTCCAGCTGGCCGGCCGGCCAAGATCCACGGTCCAGCCGGCCGGCCGGCCGGCTGATCAACGACCGTCGGCTAAGTCGGCTACTACTACTAATACTAGTACTAATACTATTACTTTTACTTTTCTACGACTACTACTACTACTACTACTACTACTACTACTACTACTACTACTACTACTACTACTACT